CGCGTATCGGTTAGCTCTACCTCCCGAGTTATCAGGCATTCATAATGTGTTTCACGCATCTATGTTACGTAAGTACGTGTGCGACCCTGATCATGTCATTCCTCTTACGGATATCCAGGTTCAGCCAGACCTCTCGTACGAGGAGCGACCGGTAGCTGTATTAGACCGTCAGGTTCGTCGGCTCCGGAAGCGAGATATTCCCCTCGTGCGTATTCAGTGGGATCGCCACGGAGCTACTTGGGAAGGGGAGTCCGATATTCGCGCTCGTTTCCCAGATTTTCAGTTTTGATGTACATATTTCTTTATCCTATGTACACAGTTCATGTATATCAGTCATGTTTTGAATTTCCGAGGACGGAAATTTTGTAAGGAGGGAGGATTGTAATATCCCGATATTTTATCGGTATAAATTATGTTTTAGTTCCGATATAATAAGGTTATCGAATTATTATTGTCGGAATTAATTATTTTCAGTTGAAATTACCGAAATTTATTTTCGACGTACCGATTACGTTCGGAATAATTTTGGTAATTAAGCATTATGTTTAATTAAATAATTAAATATAAAATTAAGTGATTAATTATTGATTAATCACAATCAATGTCTTAAACCGTGGCCTAAAAATTCCAAAAGGCCGTACGGTTTTAACTCCCAATTCATGTAAGGGTTCTTCATGTTAAGGCAAATACACGTGTCATTGAGGGAGGTTTAGAGAGGGATGAATCATCCCTAGAATTCCTAATTAACTCCCAAGTGTTAGCTCATGAATAGGGCCACGAGTGCCCATTGTCATCACCCCAAATTGGGGCTCCCAAATCGGCCGTGTATATAAGGAGATAATGGTACGAAATTTCCCTCACTTTTTCTATTATGCATAAGAAACATATTCCTCCTTTATACTCTCACCTTCAGTAGTAATAGCTTCAACCAATTTCCCTAAATTTTCATTAAATTTGCACGGCAAGTGACGGGTATACGCACCGCACGTACGCACGGTTCACCGGAGGCTTCGTTCAGCTTGGAATTCCTTTGCGCATTTGAGAAGGTAAAGTGTTATTGACCCCTTTTTCAGATTGATAAGGTCATGTTAAGAATAAGGGTTCGATCTATATGCGAGAATTTCGAGTAAAACCGTGTTTAAGTCCGATTTTGTTTAAAGTAAGATCATAACCGAGTAACTTTCGATTTTTCCGGCAACTCTCGAACTGTTGATGTTTAAATATTCAGTTTAGCTTATTTCATGTTCAGTAAGTTCGGAATTGTCGAGGCAAAGTGAAGTTTTGTCGATAACATGGCCCAAGCCGTCGCTAGCGCCTATCGCGCGTGGACTCGGGCAGCCTCGGGCCGTGTTGTAGTGCCTTCAGTAATGATCATGTTGTCCGTGTGTTTATGTCTTAAATTGCCTCACATTAATGTTAATGTTAAGTTGTTCTGAAGTTGCCGAGGAAAAAGGGTGTTTTGGCCGGGAGACGGCGTATAGCCGTCGGCGGCGCACGGCGCGCCCGCCAAGGCCCTTTCATGTTCATTGTGCATTAGTTAC